GGCGGCCGCCCCCGCCCCATGTCCCGCCCCGTGTCCCCCATTCCCCGTGTCCCCCCCCTTCCCCCCCTTCTCCCAGGAGCCGCCTCCGTGTCCCCCCCGCCCCCCCCGCGGGGCTCCGGGACACCGGGAATGGGCGGGGGGCGCCCCCTGCTGGGGGGAAAGCGAGGTGCGGGGGGGGTGTGTGAGACCCCGGGGCACCGGGACCGCCCCAACCGAACCGAACCGGAGCTCCGGTGTGTACCGGGGTTTGGGTCTGGGACACCCCCTCGAGTGAACCGAGGCTGCTCCGGGTGCACCGGGACCTCCCCCGGGAGCTCCGCGATGCTCTCAAATGCCCCGGAACGACCCCCAAAGTGCACCAGGACCCCTCAGAGTGCGCCAAGGCACGCCCGAGTGGATCGGGAGCCCCCCCAAGTGAACCCCGACCTGCCAAGTGCGGTTGGTACTGAAAGACGGGGACCCCCCCCGTATCCACTTGGACCCCCAAAAGTGCTCCAGGAACCCTCAAAATGCACCAGATACACCCCAGGATGCACCGGACCCCCCCAAATTCACCGGGAACCCCCTCCCAATGTGCATCAGGCTCCCCAAGGGCACCGGAGCCCCCCGAGTTTGGGTGTAGCAGGTGAACTGGGACCCCCCCCCAGTCCGCCAGGACCCCTCAGTGGGCAGCTGGGACCGGGTGAAATGGTCCCCCGGGGACCGGGACCCCCCAAAATACAGCCGGTACTGGCTGAACTGGGAACCCCGGTATCCACCAAGACCCCCCCCCGGCGACCGGGACCCCCCAAAATACAGCCGGTACTGGCTGAACTGGGAACCCCGGTATCCACCAGGACCCCACCCGGCGACCGGGTACTGGGACCCCTTTAAAGATGCCAGGACCCCACCCACACCCACTGGGTGAACCAAGACCCCCAGGTGAACCAGGACCCCCCCTCCCCGACCTCCAGTCCCTCCCAGTCCCTCCCAGTCCCCGTCGGGTGCCGGGGGCGCGGGCGATTCCCGCTGTACCGGATCCCACCGGAATTCCCGGCTGGGCCGGGGCAGCGGGACGGGCCGGGGGGGGCCCGGGGGGCAGGGAGCGGTCGCGGCCGCCCCCGTGGCTTCTTGCCCGGGCTGATCCCGCTGTTCCCGCTGTTCCCGTACCTGCGAGGCCGGGACCGGAGGGCAGCAGCGGCCCCGGCGCAGTTCCATGTCCAGCGCTGACCCCCGAGCCACCGTGGAGCCGCTGCGCTCGTCCCGCCGGAACATGGGAGGGGGTCCCGGGGGGTCCCGGAGGGTCCGGAAGGTCCGAAGGGTTCAGAGGTTTCTGGAGGGTTCTTGGGGGATCCCGGGGTCCGGAGATTCCCGAGGGGTCCGGGAAGTCCCGGGGGGTCCCGGAGTCCCGGGGAGCCGCAGCTTTGTGTGGGGGTCCCGGTGTTCCCGGTGTTCCCGGTCCTCTGGAGCCTTCCGAGGGATCCCGGGGGAGCCCCACGGGGTCCCGGAGCTTTCGGGGGGTTCCCGAGGATGTCCCGGCGCTCCGGGATGGGGGAGCCAAAGGAATCCCAGAGTTCGGGGCCGCTCCCTGGAGCCCCCCCGGGTTCGGGCGCACCTGGAACAGGTGGGAAACACCGGGATGGACGCACGGGGAGATCCCGGCTCGCCTCTCCCGGCCCCGCAGAGCTCCGGGATCCCGCGGGGAGGGGAGGGGAGGGGGCGGCGGTGGCGATCGGTGCCGGCGGCTCCTGGCACGGGCGGGACAATGGCCCGGGACAGCGGCAGCTGCGGGCGAGGGGCGGGGGGGGTCTCCGTGTGTGACATCCCCGTGTGTGACATCCCCGTGTGTGACATCTGTGTGTGACATCTGTGTGTCCCCAGCGGGAATGCCGAAATCCCGGAGCCACGGGGGTGGGAAGGGCCCTTTGGAGATGTCACCTGGCGAGAGGTGACACCCGGCAGGGTGAGCTGTCCCCGCGTTTGTCCTTTCCGTGGGGAGCAGCAGCTCTGCCCCGGGCTGGGCCGGGGTTTGTGTTTAGTTCGTGGCCAAATCCTGCCCTGGGCACCGTGGGGACATCCCGGGAAGAGCTTTTTGTGGGGCCGGATGGGGTTTCTGTGAGGCTGGATGGGTTTTTGTGTGGATCAATGGGTTTTTGTGGGGATCAATGGGGATTTTGTGGGGCTGGATGGGTTTTTGTGTGGATCAATGGGTTTTTGTGGGGCTGGATGGGTTTTTGTGAGGCTGGATGGGATTTTTGTGGGGCTGGATGGGGTTTTTGTGGGGATCAATGGGTTTTTGTGAGGCTGGATGGGGTTTTTTTGTGGATGGATGGGGCTTTTGTGGGGCTGGATGGGGTTTTTGTGGGGCTGGATGGGATTTTTGTGGGGCTGGATGGGTTTTTGTGGGGATCAATGGGTTTTTGTGGGGCTGGATGGGTTTTTGTGTGGATGGATGGGATTTTTGTGGGGCTGGATGGGTTTTTGTGGGGATCAATGGGTTTTTGTGAGGCTGGATGGGTTTTTGTGTGGATGGATGGGGTTTTTGTGGGGATCAATGGGATTTTTTTGTGGATGGATGGTATCCGCTCTCAGATGAGAGATTTCCGTGAATGTTTGAGATATTTGGGTGAGTATTTGAGGGTTTTGTGTGGATATTTGGGATTATTTGTGTGGATTGATTAAGTACTCCCTCAGTCTTCCCTCCGGACAAACCAGACCCAGGTCCCTCAGTCTGGGAACAGCTCCAGACCCCAAATCACCCCCAAATCACCCCCAAATCAGGCCCTCTCCAGGAGCCCCAGGTCTCTCTGGTCCCAAGGAGCCCAGAGCTGGAGCAGCACTCCAGAACTGCCTCACCTGGGGCGGGTGAGGTGAGCTGAGGGGCAGGATCACCCCCTGACCCTCCGGCACTGCCCTTCGCGGTATCCCCCGGGATTCCATCGCCCGCAGAACCCGCGGCTGGGCAGGAACGGCTCCCCAGGACCCCACAGCTCGCACCTGTGTGAGTTCACACCCGAGTTCACACCCGAGTTCACAAACCTACCCCGGGCGGTCCAAAATCACCCGCGGCTCCAGTTTCCCCCCGGGACAGAGCACAACCTGCCCGCTTCAAACATGGCGGCCGTGGCGTCACCCGCCGCGGATAACGGGCGGAAGTGAGTCCGGGGGAAGCGAGTCCGGGCGGAAGCGAGTCCGGGGGAAGCGAGTCCGGGCGGAAGCGAATCCGGGCGGAAGTGGGTCCGCTCCGAATTGGGTCCCCCGCAGCCGGATGCGCAGGGCCTGGCGGAGCGGCGGGATGGAGGCCGCCGGTCACGGTGAGAGGCCGCGGGGCCGCGCAGGGTCCATGGGGCCTGCGGGGTCGCTCCCCGGCGGGGTAGGGCCCGCAGGGACCCCTCGCTGACCTTGTGTCCCCCCTCACAGGGCAGGAGGCCGAGGCAGGCGGCCATGGCGGCCACAAGAAGAAACACAAGAAGCACAAGAAAAAACACAAGAAGCGGCACCACCACGAGGCGGGGCCGCCCCCGGGTCCCGAACCCCCTCGGCAGCCCCGGCTGCGGCTCCGTATTAAGCTGGGAGGGCAGATCCTGGGCACCAAGAGGTGAGGAGGGAGCTGGGGGGCAGATCCCGAGCAGCAAAATGTGGGAAGAGGAGGTGGGAGGTTGAGCCGGGGGTGTTTCCGTGTGTCCCCCTAACCGAGACTCTCCACCCCGACCTCACCAGCGTCCCTAAACTCCTCTCTCTTCCCCTACAGCGTCCCCACGTTCACGGTGGTCCCCGAAGGGCCGCACTCGCCGTCCCCCTCCCCACTGCTGGGAGGCGACGAGGAGGAGCCCAGCGAGGGGGTCCCCATCGAGCAGTACCGGGCCTGGCTGGGTGAGCAGGGGGGGCTCACGGGGGGCTCTGGGGAGGGCGGGGGAAGCTCAGAGTGGCGGGGAGGGGGTGCTCTAGTGATCCCAGGGCGGTGGGACCCCCAGCCTCCGTGACTGTTGCCATCTCGGCCACCCCCCCCCAGATGAGGACAGCAACCTGGCTCCCTCCCCACTGCCCGAGCTGGACCCCGAGAGCTGCTTCCCCCCCCGTGAGGAGGAGGAGGAGGAGGAAGAGGAGGAGGAAGAGGAGGAGGAGGAGCGGCGCTGGCTGGCGGCCCTCGAGAGGGGGGAGCTGGACGACAACGGCGACATCAAGAGGGAGGTGGACGAGTCCCTCCTGACAGCCCGGCAGGTCAGGGGGCACGGGGGGCAAGGCTGAGGGGTCTGTGGGGGCTGTGGAGCTGCTGGCACAGGGCTGGGAGGGGGCTGGAGACACTGGGGTGCTCCAAAAGGGAGCTGGGCTGATGGGGGAGCCTCACAGCCGCTGGGCCGTGACTGAGAGGATCTGCAAGGGCTGCAGAGACCCCAGAACTACTGCGGGGCTCAGTTGGAGCCCTTGTGGAGCCCTGGAAGCGGTGGAGAGCCAGGTTGGATCCCCGAGTTGGGGATGGAGAGCGGTGTGGGTCTCCCAGACCCCCCCTGACGCCCCGCCGTGCCCCCGCAGCGCGCGCTGCTGCACAAGCAGCAGAGCCAGCCCCTGCTGCAGCTGCCCATGGGCGCCAAGGCCAAGGAGGTGACGGAGGAGATGCGGGAGAAGCGGGAGGAGCGGGCGCGGCGCCGGCGGCTCCAGGCCGCCCGCAAGGCCGAGGAGAGCAAGAACCAAACCATCGAGCGCCTGACGCGCACGCACAAGGCCAAGGTGAGGGCCCTGCGCGAGCGCCGCGCCCGCCCCGCGCCCTGCCCCGTCGTGCACTACCGCAGCGCCGCCGACGGCGTCACCGTGTCCTTCCCCGCCGGGCTGCCGCTGCCGCTGCCCGCCGCCGCCGCCCCGCCCGTGCCCCCCGCCCAGCCCTGCGCCGTGCCCGGCTGCACCAACCCCAAACGTTACAGCTGCGCCCGCACCGGGCGCCCGCTCTGCAGCCTGGGCTGCTACCAGCGCAACCTGCAGCTGCTGCAGAGCCAGGGGTGACCCCCCTCCCGGAGGGGGCTGCGGGGCTCTCTCCGAGGGTTAGAGACCCTCTCCAGGGGATACAGACCCTCTCGGGGGGGCCACGGATCCTCTGCCGTGGATGCAAAGGGCCAGATCACCAGCCCGTATGGGGAACTACAGAGGGGTCTGGATCATCCACATGGACACTGAGGGCCAGAAGAGGAATCTGTGGCTCTCCACTGTGGACTCGGAGGGTTGTGGGGAGCTCCAGATCTTCCACGTGGACCCAAAGGGCCAGAACAGGGCACTTCAAACCCTCTGCTGCGGACACAGAGGCTCTGGGCGTTCCACGTGGACACAAAGGGATCCGGATGGCTGCAGTTCCTTATGGACACCAATGGATATGGCCAGCCAGGATGTGCAGCTCCAGAGGGCTCCAGCCTCTCCACCGTGGACACAGAGGCTTGGGGACGCCGTCAGGGGCTGAGGGGGGTCCTGAGGGGATAAAGAGGTCCCCGGAAAGGACGGGTCCTGCTGTCACGAAGCTGATTAAAGGCTGTTGTTGAAGGAGCCGTGTGTGGGCCTGCTGGGATGGGGAGGAAACGCGACCCTGCGGGAGCGCTGTGGTAGAGTCCGAAACCCGCCGGAAGCACTATGGTACATACACCCCCCCCCTGCCCCGGCAGAGCTGTGGAACAGTCCAACTCCCCCCCACCCCCAGTGCGTTATGGTCAGTCCCGCCGACCCGGGAGGCGGGGCGCTCTCCGGCAGCGCCCATTGGCTGGGGCCCTGCCCGGCGGAGAGCAGCGGCGCTGATTGGTCGGACGCTTTGCCAATCAGACGAACGAAGCGATGCTTGCTCGCCAATTGGTCGCACTGTGCCGAGTGCCCACCCCAGGGCGGGCCGGGGGCCGCGCCCTCTGTCGAGTTCGGGGCTGAGCTCCCATTGGAAAGTGAAGCTGTCCATCAGCATTTGAGGGCGGTGCTGTGTCTTCGATTGGCTGTTGGGGCCGCCAATCAAGGCGGGGGCGGGGCTCGGCTCCTTTGTCTCTGTTGTTGGGCGTGAGGCTCAGGCAGACGGCGAGCGATTGGCTGCAGCCGGGCGGCGGTGACTGCGCCGATTGGCTGTCGCCCGCAGAGCAGTCGCTGATTGGTCGCCCTTGGTCCTGGGGGCGGGATTTCGGGCCGGGCGTCATGGCGGCGGCGACGGCCCCGGCCCGGGCGGCGGCGGCGGCCGCGGGGGCCGCGATGGCGGCGGCGGTGGCGACGGGGCGGCGGCGGCTGCTGCGGGCGGCGGGGGCCGCGGCCGGGCGGGCGCGGGGCCGCGGCGGGCTTTAGGCGGCGGCGCTATGGAGCGGCCCGGGAGCGCCGAGGGGGCCTGGGCCGCGCTGCTGGGCCGGCAGCACCCGCAGGTACCGGGCGGGCCGGGGCGGGGGGGCCGCGCGCGGGGCCGCGGTGACGGTGCGGCCGTGCCCGCAGGCCCGGGAGTTCTGCCCGGGGGTGAACAACCGGCCCTACGTGTGCGAGACCGGGCACTGCTGCGGGGAGAGCGGCTGCTGCACCTACTACTACGAGCTGTGGTGTGAGTGCGGGGGGATCCGCGGAGAACGGGGCGGATCGGGGGTCTGGGCGGGCTGACGGCTTCGGGACCAGCCGGGACTCCCCGGGGGGGTCCCGCGGCTCGGGAAGGTCAGGGTTAGGGATGTGTCGGGGCTCAGGGCTCCGTGTGAGTCCTGCGGGAGCTGGGGCGAGCACTGAGGGTTGTGGGAGGTTTTGGGGGCTGCAGTGAGACCCCCCATGGGAACGGGGGCTATATGTGAGGGTGACCCCCCCGCTCCGCGCCCCCGTTCCCGCAGGGTTCTGGCTGCTCTGGACCATCCTGATCCTGCTGAGCTGCTGCTGCGCGTTCCGGCACCGCCGGGCCAAGCTGCGCCTGCAGCAGCAGCAGCGGCAGCGTGAGATCAACCTCATCGCCTACCACGGTGCCTGCCAGTACCCCCCGTCCTCGGGGGACCTCCGTGAGTGAGGGGCTTCTGAAGTTCCCCCCTACCCCCGATCCCAGCCTCTGCCAGCACCACCTCCCGCCATGGGGGTCCTCAGTGAATTGGGACCCCCAGCCCCTCGTGCCTGACCATTTTCATGGGGGATCTCAGTGGTTCAAGACCCCCTGGGCCACCCCCCAATATCCTGGATTCCCCGTCCCTGCCCCACAGTGTCCCATGTTCGCCCCCAGCCCCACATCCCCACCCCTGCCCCAGGCTGTGCTCTCCAGCTCCATCCCCCACATCCCACTGAGCCCCCTGTTCCCCCAGTTCTGCCCAGTGCTGAGCTGTGCCCTCCGTCTCCATCCTCTCAGTGCCATTTCCCCGTGTCCCCGATGTCCCCCTGACCCCACCTCTTCCCCCCTCAGGGCTTCTGGCCTCCTTCAAGCTCCCGGCGTACGAGGAAGTGGCGCAGCGCCCCGGGACGCCGCCGCCGCCCTACAGCCCCGGGAGCCCCTCACTGTCCCCGGGCTCCTCCGGGGGCTGCAGCTCCTGCTCCTGCGGCTGCTCCTGCGCCTCCTCCCCCAGCAGCTCCTCGCTCTCGGCACCGGGCACCGACGAGACGGACCCGGAGCCCGGCCCGGGCCTGGGGGGTGGCAGCACCGGCCGTGACGGCGGCTCCAGCAGCACCGGCACCGGTGCCAGCTGGGACCTGCCCCTGCCCGAAGAGCCGCCGGCCCGCGGGGGCCCCCCCAAACAAGTCCCCCCGGACTTCTGTGAAGCCGAGGGCCGCCCCTGCTCCGACACTGAGGGGATGGAGGATGGGGGGGGCAGAGCGGTGCTAGGGGGCTGCCCCGGGCGGCACCGGCGGCTCACGGGGGATTCGGGCATTGAGGTGGGCCGGGGCCTAGAGGAAGAGGAGGGTGAGCCTGAGGGCTGCGGGGAACCAGGGGGTGGTGGGGGGCCCAACTCACCCGTGCTGCCTGTCTGAGCCCCCCCTGGGACCCCCAACTGGGGTCTGGACTCATCACGGAGCCCCTGGGGGCCCCTCGCCCCATCTGCCACCCACCCTGCAGTGTGGCGGGGTCCTGCTGGAGCCCCCTCGCCTCCGAACTGCTTGTGGGGCCTCCCCTGTGACCCCGGTGCTGCTGGCCAGGGGGCCCCATCGCCCGGGGGGTGCCCGAGACCGTGGGGGTGGGTGGTCCTGGCATCCTCTCACCATTAAAGAGATGTGGAAGTACCGTCGCCCCTTGTGATGGCTGCACTGGGCTGCGTGGGGACCCCTGACTCCACAGGCACAGTGCCAAACATCCCCCCTGTGGCACAGGGGGCACCAGGAGGACCCGGGGCCAGCAAAGGTGACACCGTGACACCCTGACACGGCTGGCAGGAGGCCGCAGTCACGGAGATTTATTGCAGGGGAGGCAGAGGAGCACTGGCACAGCCCCCCAACACCTCCCCTGGCCCTGAGCACACCAGGCAGGCAGGCAGGGGGGCACAGGGACCACCCCCCACATTAATAATCCTCAGCCATGGCCAGCACGACGAGCGCGGACCAGCCGGCGAAGGGGTGACAACCCTGCCCGGCGCCGTCGCTGTCCCGATAGTGCTCCCACAGGAAGCCGGTGGCCTCGTACTGCCGGAACACGTTGGCCACGAGGTTGTGGCGCAGCTCCCGGTACAGCTCGGCGGCGCGCTCCCGCTGCGGCCCCGCCGTCTGCGCGTAACCGCGCAGCGCCCGCAGCGCCAGGAAGTTGATGTTGACCCAGACGGAGCCGCGCCAGTACGGGGGGTCGTGCTCGGTGTTGCGGCGCAGGTACCAGGGGCTGTCGCGGGCCAGCGAGCGCAGCCCGAAGGGCGTCCAGAGCTGCCTCTCGTTGCGCATGGAGCCCAGGAGCGCCGGCAGCCGCGGGGAGTCCGCTCGGAGCAGCTGCAGCAGCAGCGGGAACAGGCTGACGTAGCCCAAAGCGCCCACAAACCGCAGCCGCGGCGCCTCCCGCACCTCCCGCCGCAGCTGCGGGGCCGGCGGGGGCCTGCCGGGCACGGGGGCCGGGCGGTGCCAGCGCAGAGCCACGGCCGCGCTGTGATTGCCAAAGTCGGCAAAGGTGCCCAGCTCAGGCGCCCAGTGCAGCCGGTCCAGCGAGTCGTTGTCGCTCAGGGCCGCGGCCATGTCGCGATAGGGCGCGGCGGGCTCGCCCAGGCGCTCGGCCAGCGCCGCCAGCACGCGGGCACCCAGCGCCATCCAGCAGCGCAGGTCCAGGTGCCGCTCCTGCGCAGACGGGTGAGAGGCGCGGGGGTAATCGTCCAGCCCCGACGACAGAGTCTTGGGGTTCAGGAAGCGCTCGGGGTCGGCGTCGCGGCCGCGCCAGCGGAAGGGGAAGGGCTCGGGGCCGGCCTGGGTGCCGTTC